TGCCCTGTCTGGTCCAGTTTTCTGCTCCCCTGTGGGCCTCCAGGTCAGGCCAGGGCTTGGGAACAGGTGAGATGCCCCAATGCCTCAGAGTCCAGCCCCCAGTTTAGGTGGCTCCTCAGGAGGCAGCACGGGGCTCCTTCCCTGGAGCGTGGGTCCCCCCGTGGCTGTCCGACTGGAATGTGGCAGTGAGGTGGGCTCGTGGCTCGGTCACTTTCCCCGCTACCCACAAGCAAATTGGGCCCTTTTGGTCCTGATTCCCCGGGTGGGTGGGTTTGTGCATGTTCTGGGACCCTGTAGGCCCCTCCAGTGGACTCTCCTCTGAGGCTGGCAGTATCTCCCACTGCTGCAACCCCCATAGGTTTTTACAGCCAGAGGTTTTGTGGCTTTCTTTTCCCATGGAGCTCTGGGTTGAGAGCCCTGTCTCACTCCCCAGTTTTTCCTCCCTGCTTATCTACATGCAAATGTGGGACCACCTGGTCCTCCAGCTGCCACCTTACTGAGCATCCTCTCTGCCCCGGCTGCCTGTCTCCACCCCTCCTACCAGTCTGGATGAATGTTTCTTCTTTAGCTTCTTGGTTGTTGGACAGCAATACAGTTTGATTTTCTGGCAGTTCTTGTTATTTTTTATTTTTAAATTTGCTGTTTTCCTTCTTTTGGTTGTGTGAGGAGGCAAAGTGTGCTTACCTATGACTCCATCTTGGCCAGAACTCCCTTAAAATATTTTATTCATTTATTTTTAGAGAGAGGGGAAAGGAGGGAGAAAGAAAGGGAGGAAAACACTGTTATGTGAGAGAAACATCTATTAGTTCCCTCTCGCACGCCCCCAACTGGGGACCGAACCTGCAACCCAGGCATGTGCCCTGAGCGGGAATCAAACCAGTGGCATTTCAGTTTGCAGGATGGCACTCAATCCACTGAACCACACTAGCCAGGGCCTGATAACCATTTAATGGGAGGATTTATTTTAGGACTCACACTGAAGACAGCAGTGTTAGTTAATTTCAATTATTGTTTAGTTTGGGTTTTTTTTCACTTATTGTTACATTTGGTTTGAATAATGCTAGTTCATGGCAACAAAATAAAGATTTAATTAGCACAGAAAGGTATGAAGAGGAAAGAGAAAGTTCCCTCATCCTTAAAAAGGAAATCCCTGGTTCCTGGTGCAGAGGCGCCCCTTTCCCTTCAGAAGTTGAGCTTACTGCTCTCTCTGCCTCTCTGCCTCCGGGGTCCTCACTGCCCCCTCTGGGCCTGGCCCCCCAGATGCAATGATAGGGACCCGCTGCTCTCCTGCCCCAGCCGCAGTAGGGCCGTACTGTGTGCACCTGCAACAGTGGCAGTACTGGGAGCCGGCCACTGCGACTGGCTTCTCTCCATCAGGCTCCGTTTCCAAGACTTCTCATTTATCTATTTGCTCAGTCCTTATGGCAGCAACATTTGTCCCATTTGACAGAGGAGGAAACTGAGGCACAAAGAGACAAAGTCATTGCCAATGCCGCTCTGCCGGACTCGGACACTTGTACTTGCTCTAGAGTCCCTGCGCCCACCTGGGGTGGTGAGCGCCGCCCACTCCCCACACCCTCTGAACTCACGCTGCTGTCAGACTGTGGTCCTGCCGCTGCTCCATGGCGAGAGCCAGGACGCAGGCCCGCCCCGTACCCCCGGTGAGGCACGGTGCCCTCCGGCTTCGGGGGAACATTCCGTGAGTGTCACCAGACAAGTGAGCCGGTGATTCAGGGTGCAGAGTCTGCGCCCATCCAGAAAAATGAAATCGGGATTGGAGAGGTGTCTGCACTCCTGTGTTTATTGCAGCTTATTCCCAATAGTCAAGACATGGAAGCAGTCTTGAAAAGAATAAAATTCTGCCATTTGTGACAGCATGCAGAGATCTAGAGGGTATTACGCAGAGTGAAATAGTCAGTAAGAGACAAATACTCTATAACCCCACTTATAATCTAAAATAGCCAAAGTCATGGAGCAGAATGGCAGTTGCCAGGGGCTGGGAGGAGGCAGAAAGGGGGTATTAGTTAAAGGGTACAGTCTGGGTTCCTGTGGTGCAAGATGCCTGAGTCCTAGAGGTCGACTGCACGGCGGCGGGCCTGTAGCTGGCCGCACTCTACTGTGTCTGTGCATACGGCACTGTGTGCTCACTCTTTGCTAACAGGGTGGGCCTTAGGTTCCGCGTCCTCACCACACATACATGTCGTCGTCGTCGTCGTCATCATCATCATCAATGAGAAAAGGCACGTTGGGAGGTGATACATGTGTTTCTGACCTGGATGGTGATAGTTTCATGGGGTACGCTTACCTCAATAAAATGGTTAAAAATGAACAGCCAATGGAGCGAATGCCTACTGCCCGCCATGGCCCCCACGTGACGCCTCAGAGAGCCCGGGACCGCCGCTCGCCAGCCCCGGGGGGATGCCCACTGCACGCCTCTGTCCCACCGACACTCACACAGGGGCCGACCCTCCCGCCCCGCTGCTCCCACCCTGCCGCCTCGTGGCTCCCGGGAGAGGCCAGACGCCTCCGGCTGCATCCAGGCCCCGCTCTGTGTTCGAGGACACTGGCCTCTCGGGCTGGAAAATCCAGCGATGTGAGTAACCGTCAGTGCGCCTCTGCCTCCACCTGTGGTGCAATCTTGTTCAGTCCACACTGAGGCCACTTCCTTCCTGCCCCTGCTGGGCTGTGATGACTGCAGTTCACCAAGTTTCGTCTCAGACTATAAATTCACTAAGCTTCCTCTCGGGCTGTTCCTGAAGCCAGTGTCTGGGTGAGTGCAGCTCCGTGGGACGGGGTGGCCGCATGGGCCTGGGGAGGAGTGGGGAGAGCGTTTCCAGGGCCAGAACTCACGAGGGATTTCCTCTGTCAACCTGCTGTGTGTCCCTTAAACAACATTTCTGGAATGTTCTTTTGTAATTTCATTATGTGGGCTCTGTGTGCCTGTGTGTGGTGTGGGATGGGGACAGGAGCAGTGCCACAGCTGTGCCCAGACCCCCACAGACTGGCCCCGTGGAGGGCTGGGACGGGCATCCTACCGACCAGGGGACGGAGGAGGGAAGGGTCGGGGGTGGGGAGCGCGGAGGACAGCTGCAGTCCGGACGTGGAGGGAAAGGGTGGCGGGCGAGTGGGTCTGTCTGAAGACAAACTGCCCCCCCCAGTGCATGAGGGGATGGACTTGGGCAGGCACGTGAGGCCAGACGTGGAGAGGTGAGGGTGCAGCTGCAAGGAGGGGTGATGAGCATGTTGGCGGTGTGCACCAAGCAGTGGGCACCATGAATCACCACTCCCTCTGTTATCATCGTCTGTGGCTTCAGCAGATGAGCTTTTCCCAACTCTATAATACGAAGGGATCGAACCCAAACAAAGTCACGTGTCCATCCCTCCATCCAAAACCTAGGAGATGTGAGAGAGTGAGAGAGCTGATTTCTAGTCTTTGTGCAAACTGAAGTCTAATTCGGAAGCCTGAGCCAGTGAACTAGTGAGTCTCCGTGTGATAAAGGCTGGGAAAATGTCTTTGCCTTTTAACCACTGTTTACTGTCTTTGATCATTTCTGTTCCAATCTGGCTGAGGTAACTAGGTAAGTGGTGGAACCAATGGTCTCACACCTTTTCAGGATGTGAAAAGCGCAGCTTAGGGGCCTGAGCTCAGAAACTGAAGAGTCTTGTCTCCGTCCTGGCTTTGCCCTTTGCTGGCTTCACCTCTCTGACGTGGTCTCCACTTCCATCATGGGGTTGACGAGGTGCGCATGCACCTTGGGGGGCCTTGTGCAGGTGAGGGGAAGAAGCACCGGCGTGCCTAGCCCCTGAGCCACTCTCAGTCAGTGTGGGGTGCTCTCATCGCAACCACGAATTTTCCAGGACATGGTAGAGAGACGTGCGCTCATTGCCCCCGTGCGCACCCGAGTTCGGCCTCGCTGCAGCCTCTCTGGCAGTCGGCTGTCGGGGGGCATCTGGGACTGTCACCCCCTCCCCATCTTTCTCGCATTGCCACAGTTACTCACTTCCTTTTCTCCTGTTTTGTTCCCCAACCTCCTTTCCTCGGGCCAACAGAGAAACAAGGAACTAGAGTCTTTCCGTTGGAAGGAACTTAATAACCATGTTTTCCACTCTGTCATTTTACAGATGAGGAAACTGAAGTTGAGGGATAGTGATGCATTTGTCCCGGATTGTAGCCCAGTCAGCAGTGCCCCGAGGACCCCCGGAGGTGGTGCCATGTAGCTTCCTGGGCACCCACTACCCTGCTGCTGTGACTGTCTCTGGGATAATTACCGTTTCTCCCCACAGGGATGCCTTTCTTCTTGGCTCAGGACACTCCCAGGTGGAGCCAAGAACACAACTGTCTAGTAGGCATTGGGCTCACTTCTCAAAACTGCAGATGAAATTCATTGCAGTTCAGTGATATATTTCCTTTCAGTTTTCCTACTTTCTGATCATGTAGTTCTCTCTAAGGGTAGACTTTGAAAGAGACTCCCTGTTAGGCTGGCTGGTGAAAGAATTCACAAAGAGAAGAAAGTGCAGGGAGCGAAGTTGTCATTCACTTTCCCCGAGGGGAAAGGGGCTCAGTGTGGAGAGATACACCAGCAGCAGAAAGTTGGTGCTGCGGGCTTGTATTGGGTGATATAGGGGAGAAGGGTGCAGCTGCATAGTCATGGCAATTAGCTGCAAGTCAGGAGACTTCTGGCTGATTGTGCAGCTTCAGTTTGTCCTGCTGTTATCCTTGGGTTCAGGGTCCAGCGCTCCAGTCTGATATGTCCTGTTTGTGTAAGTTTTAAAGCACCTGCGCAGGGGATGCCTTCAGTAATCTCTCTAGTCCTGAGAAGAGGGGCTCCGAGGAATGACAGTTAATTGTGCCTGACAGGCTCAAGGACGAGAGAGCTGGCTCTAGCAAAGGGGGCCTGAAAGGGGCCTCTTCGTCCTTTTACCTTCCTTACCCACATGCTGATTCTACTCCCACTTCCTCCAGCTGGACCTACGCCCCGAGGCCCTGACCAGGGCTGCAGACAGGCATGGCCAGCGTCCGCTGCAAGCTGACCCACTACCTGGAGGACCTGGAGGACATGGACCTGAAGAAGTTCAAGATGCACCTAGAAGACTATCCCCCTCAGGAGGGCTGCATTGCACTCCCCCGGGGCCAGACGGAGAAAGCAGACCCTGTGGACCTAGCCACCCTCATGATTGACTTCAACGGGGAGCAGAAGGCATGGGGCATGGCGGTCTGGATTTTTGCTGCGATCAACAGGAGAGACCTTTACGAGAAAGCCAAGAGGGAGGAGCCAGAGTGGGGTGAGTACAAGGAAGCAAGTATTTGTTTTAATTGTGATAAGATACACATAACAGAAAATTTACCATCTTAAACATCGTTAAGTGTACGTTTCAGTTGTGTTCAACGCATTCACGTCGCCACACAATCCATCACCAGAGCTCTTTCCCATCTTGCAAAACTGTCTCCATGAAACAACAATTCCCCAGCGCCTCCCTTAGCCCCTGGCTCCCGCCACCTACTTTCTGTCTCTATGAATTTGACTCCTCCAGGGACCTCATATAAGTGGAATCATTCAGAACTAGCCTTTTAGTGTGACTGGCTTATTTCATTTAGCATAAAGTCCTCAAACTTCATCCATGTTGTCACATATAACAGGATTTCATTCCTTTTTAAGGCACAGTAATATTCCACGGTAAGTATATACCACATTTTGTCTATCTACTCATCCGTCAGTGGACGTTCAGACTGCTTCTAGCTTTGCATTCTTGTGAATAATGATGCTATGAACATGGGTGTACACATTTCTTTGAGACCCTGCTTTCAGTTCTTTTGAAGTAGAATTATTGAATTACATGGTAATTCTATGTTTTTTGAGGACCTGCCACGCTGTTTTGCACAGTGCCTGCACCATTTTACACTCCCACCAACAGTGCACTGGGGTTCCAGTTTCTCCACATCCTTGCCAACACTTGTTTTATGTTTTTGTTTTTGTTTTTTAATTGTAGCTATCCTAGTGGGTGTGAGATGATATTGCACTGGGGTTTGATTTGCATTTCCCTATTGACCGGTGATATGGAGTGCCTTTTCATGAGCTGGTTGGCCGTTTATCTTTGAAGAAATGTCTGTTCAAGCCCTTTTCCCATGTCTTAATTAAGTTGTGTGTTTTGTTGTTGTTGTTGTTGGCTTGCAGTAGCTTTTTATATATCTTGGATATTAAGCCCCTATCAGATATATGATTTGCAAATATTTTCTCCCATTTCATCCAGGTGTTGCCTTTTCACTCTGTTAAGGGTATCTTTTGATGCATTAGAGTTGGTATGTTTGTTTTTTAATAATTTCTTTTATTTTTTTCAGCTTCATTCTCTTTCTCCCTCTCATGATCATGCCATGAGTAGGTAGAAGAAAGCAGTTTGCTTTTTTCTAACTCTTTAGAAACCCGAGTCAGGGCTCACGTACCTCTAGGAAGCTTCCCTTGATTAGTTCCACTTTATCCAAATCTCTCCTGCATCTGAAACTTGCTATGACTCTGCCTGCAGCTCCCTGTGAGGACACACGGCCAACCACGTGACCTGCTCGCAGGGCCCACCACCAGGAGTCTCTGGCTCAGGGCCACCTGTCCCCTCGCAGACTGTGCGACAGGCACGCAAAACCTCTGGATGCTCCTTTGGCCGTGCGGCGGGTTCGAGGCTCTGCCTCTCTCTGCAGACAGGGCAGGGCACAGGCTCTGCCGCCGGCTTGGTCTTCTCAGCAAGGGAAGGGCACAAAGCGTGCTCAGAGGGATCCAGAAAGTCACGGCTGCCAATGTCGGGCTAGTGCAGAGGAGGGTTTGAGCTCCTCTGACCCAGCAGGTCAGAGGAAGCATGGGGTGGGGGGCCCGAGGCGGGCGCACAGCAGTGGGTGTTACACACAAATCGTGCATGATGACACAGTCATAACCGTGTCATACTCGCATGTGTAGTAACCAGATGTCATACTCGCAAGTGTCGTAACCAGATTCAAGTGGAATCATAGTTAACAGTTTTTATGGATCTTGCTCATTTCTCACAAGAACCCCATGCGGCCAGTGCTTTCCAATGAACTTTCAATTTCATTATGCGAAATGCGACACGCCCGTCCCAAAGAGACAGCTGCAGGGCTCTGTGTGAGAGGCGCCCCGAGGGGCCAAATTCGCAGGCACAGGAAATGGTTGCCGGGGGCTCCAGGGAGAAGGGGATGGGAGATCATTATTTAATGGGCACAAGTTTTCAGTTTTACAAGAATTCTGGAATTGACTGCCCAGCAATGTTAAGGGAGCCCGTAAGTTCTGGTTGCCCGCGGCTGCGTCCTCATCAGAGCCCAGGCCCGGCACATCTTTGGCCCAAGCCTGACTCTTAACCACTGTGACATCCTGGCTCCCACACGTGGGTCTTGAGGTGGAAGAAATCTGACCAGGGTCAGAACTTCTTTCTGGGGGTGGGAAGAGTGGCTAGAGTCAGGTTTTAGGTAGAAGTAAGTTGTGGTTTTGCTTTGAGTTAATGCAGATTTTGTTCTGTGGCCTAGGCCACCAACAGTATGTGCCTCCAGGATAAGCAGAGGCCTGCTGGTGCCCCCCCGTGCCCCTTTGGGTTCCTGCCCCCCACCGGTGCCCGCACTGTGTGCCCACCCCCGGCACCTTGCTCTTGCTCTGCTGAGTCTGAGTTTCTCCTGGGAAACGCCTCTTTGAAATGTGTCGTTTAGTGACTATTCAGATTTGTGATTCTCAACAGCGGATGCAGGTTGGAGCTTTAAGAATATAGTGATTCCTGAAAAAGCGTCACGGGGGTGAAGTCCTGGAATCAGTAATTTTAAGGCTTCATAGGTGAATCTGAAGTCAGCCAGGATTCTGCACTGCCTGGTTAGACACAAACCACACTGGCAATCCTCCCTCTTGAAGACCTGGAACATGGATCCAATGAGTTCCAGGCATTTGGGGTCAGGGAAAGGTGATCCTCCTGGCCTTTGGCCACCTTGGGGACACTGGCAAGCATGGAGAGACCCCAAACCAGTCCACCGGGGGGCGGGGGCCTGACGGCCAAAGATGCGTGAGGACCAGAGAAACCTGCCTGCCGCACATGTTTGCCGGTTGCTTTCCAGGTCTGGGAGGGAGATTCAGAGACTGGACGCTGTGGGCGTACGAGCTCAGAGGGTGGGTCACCACCGTGGCTTTGAAATGACGGCCAGAACGCCTCCTGGCTGGACCTTTGGCTGCACACCTGCCATCTGCAACTCTGAGCTGTGTTTTGGTTTGGCCGATGTCCCGGCAGGTGCCTTTGACCTGTGCCTGGTGTGGGGTCTCAGTCACATCGCCTTCGTCAGGAATCCTAGATTTTGACACTTTGCATTTTTCCCCTTTATTTTCAGATCCCACACCTGTGTCTGTGGTCTGCCGGGAAGACAGCCTCGAAGAGGAGTGGATGGGCTTATTGGGGTACCTTTCCAGAATGTCTATTTGTAGGAAAAAGAAAGGTAACCATGGGGAAGGCGCTTTCCGCTGGATTTGTAGATGAGATCTGGGAGGCCCTGGGAAGCTGGGGGGCTGCTCCCTGGAGGGCTCCCTCTCCTTGGGGTGCAGAGGCCCAGCTCAGGAAATCCCAGTAGCTGAGGACACAGTACATGTTTACCTGGCTCCTTGCAGTCCCCAAACCAAGGGGAGGACATTGAGTGTTTTGGATTTTAAAAGGCATGGGCTTCAGAGTACCTATCGGAGTAACATTGCATACAGATGATTATCTGGCTGGGGACAGCGCCAGGCCCTTGGCTCTTCTGCTCAGCTGTGTGTAGGGAGATGTTGACACACCAGGTTTATACCCAGTAGCGGGGAGGAACTGCACCCCCATTTCTTGGCTCCAGTGTCCACTCCCTAGGGACAGCAGGCCACTGTAGAGAGCTCATCTCGGGGGGACGTGCTCAGGCTTCCCCCAGACTCTCACTTTCCGTCTCTGCCGCAGATTACTGTAAGAAATACAGAAACCACGTGAGAAGCAGATTCCAGTGTATCAAAGACAGGAACGCCCGTCTGGGAGAGAGTGTGAACCTCCGCAAGCGCTACACCAGGCTGCGGCTCGTCAAGGAGTACCCGAGCCAGCAGGAGAGGGAGCAGGAGTTCAAGGCCATCGGCCGGACCCTGGCCCAGACGCCGGACAGCCCCCAGAGTTCCATGAACTTGGAGCTGCTGTTTGAGCCTGAGGACCCGTACTCGGAGCCCGTGCACACGGTGGTTTTCCAGGGCTCAGCGGGCATCGGGAAGACAATCCTGGCCAGGAAGATCATGCTAGACTGGGCGACGGAGACACTTTACCAGGACAGGTTTGACTACCTGTTCTACATCCACTGCCGGGAGGTGAGACTGGGGACGCACAGGAGCCTGGGGGACCTGATAGCCAGCTGCTGCCCTGACTCTGACCCTCCCCTATGCAAGATCATGAGGAAGCCGGCCAAGATCCTCTTCCTCATGGACGGCTTTGACGAGCTGCAGGGGGCCTTTGACGAGCACGCGGAGGAGCTCTGCATGGACTGGCAGGAGGTGCAGCGTGTGGACATCGTCCTGAGCAGCCTCATCAGGAAGAAGCTGCTCCCCGAGGCCTCACTGCTCATCACCACGAGGCCTGTGGCCCTAGAGAAGCTGCACCACCTGCTGGACCGTCCGCGGCATGTGGAGATCCTTGGCTTCTCAGAGGCCAAGAAGAAGGAGTATTTCTTTAAGTACTTTTCCGACGAGCAGCAGGCCCGGGAAGCCTTCAGGCTGATCCAGGAGAACGAGGTCCTCTTCACCATGTGCTTCATCCCCCTGGTCTGCTGGATCGTGTGCATGGGGCTGAAACAGCAGATGGACAGTGGCAAGAGCCTCGCCCAGACCTCCAAGACCACCACCGCGGTGTACATCTTCTTCCTCTCCAGCCTGCTGCAGTCGCGAGCGGGGAGCCAGGGACAGCTCGCCTCCACCGGCCTTCGGGGCCTCTGCTCGCTGGCCGCCGATGGGATCTGGAATCAGAAGATCCTGTTTGAGGAGGGCGACCTCAGGAACCACGGCCTGCAGAAGGCCGACGTGTCCGCGTTCCTGAGGGTGAACCTCTTCCAGAAGGAGGTGGACTGCGAGAAGTTCTATAGCTTCATGCACATGACCTTCCAGGAATTCTTTGCTGCCATGTACTACTTGCTGGAAGAGGAGGAGCACCAGGGGGCCAAGAACTTGCCGCAGAGTCCTTGTGAGCTCCCCAGCCGAGACGTCAGAGTCCTTCTGGAAAACTATGGCAAGTTTGAAAAGGGGTATCTGATTTTTGTCGTCCGTTTCCTCTTTGGCCTCATAAACCAGGAGAGAACCTCCTACTTGGAGAAGAAGCTGAGTTGTAAGATCTCCCAGCACATCAGGCTGGAGCTGCTGAGGTGGGTCGAGGCCCAAGCCCAGGCCCTGACCCTGCGGGCACAGCCCAGCCAGCTGGAGCTGTTCTACTGCTTGTACGAGATGCAGGAAGCTGACTTCGTGCGCGGAGCCATGAGCCACTTCCCCAGAATAGAGGTCAGTCTCTCCACCAGAATGGACCACGTGGTTTCTTCTTTCTGCATCAAGAACTGTCCCAGTGTGCAATCCCTCTCCCTGAGGTGGCTCCACAACTCGCCCAAAGAAGAGGAAGAGGAGGAGGAGGAGGAGGCCGCTCAACACTGTAACGCGGGCCGGTGCATCGTCCGAGGCCCTCACGCAGCCTCCTCTCATCGGTAAGGAGACCAGGTCCGGGCAGGTGGTAGAACCCGCCCTCCACTTTTCAGCCACCCTTCCTTTGGCACGTGCTCCCTCTCCCCTCTTCTCAACTGTCTTTCAAACGCGGCTGCCGCAGCGCTGCAATTCTGCAGCCACCGCCACCCTCAGTAGATCCCTTCATCGGCAGAGACTGACCCGTAGGAAAAGGGTAGCTGGATAAGTGAGACAAGAAAAAGCCAAGGAAACAATAGGAGACTGAGTAAAAATGTTTATAAACTCAAATTGCTTGCAGTCCACTTGGGGCTCTAGTGTGTAACAGCCAGTCAACACCAAAGGGGCAAAAGTGGCCCAGTGACTTTGCCCCAGGGTCACAGAGGACAGAGGGCCTTCCTCGCTGGACGCCGGGGAGGGGTCTCTGGGTGAAGCCTGAGCCTTGACGTGGGGCGGGGTGGGGGACGGGAGTGGGGCAGAGGGAGAGGAAGGGAAGGGATTTGGGCAGTGGGTCTGGTAAGGACGACCCGTGAATGTGGTCTGAGGGAGACTGTGTGCAGGAGACAATGGGGAGGGACATGGCTGCACTGGCACACACGTGACAAGGGGAAACTGAGGAAGACAGGGCTAGAGAGGAGTCAGCGCTCCGAAGCCCCACACTGTGCTTGAACCAGGCGGCCGCCAGCAGCGCCTCCTTCAGGGTCTGCTTGCCCGTGTGCAGGTTGGGGGACTCAGGGCCGCACTGGGGCCGTGAGCAGCTGTTACCTGGCTTCTGAAGTCCCTGCCAGGGACTGCCAGGGCCCCAGGAGCTGTGGGGAGGTGGCCGCTCTGGGAGGGCACGGGTGTGACCTCTGTAGGAGACACTAGACATGGGACAAATTAAGTAGAAAGGAGGCTGGACCCTTCCACTGGCAGCAGTGAATTTTCAACTCCTTTTCTCTGCCTACCCAGCACCTTTACTGTTTGGTCCCCAAAGATCACCTCCTGGGGCTTCAGCGGTGGCTAAGACACAAATCCTGCTCACAGGAACTTAAGGTTCCATTGTGGGGACAGTTGGGAGTGACAGGCAGACTGAGAAAGTTGGGCTACGGCAAAGACACTTGCAGAGTGCGCCCAAGGCTCCCGGGGGCGGGGGCGGGGGACGGGGGCCCACCGGCTGCTTCTGAAGGACCAGTGTGAGAAGACTCGTAGGGTGGGAGGCTGGAAAGCAAGATGTGCTTCCATGGTGGCAAGGAGCTTAGCATAGCTAGAAAGAGGATGGAGGAGGTGGAGAGAGGGCGTGAGAGAAGGGGACCCACTCACTGGACCCCAAAAGCGAGACTGAGAAAACAAGGGGCCTGACCAAGCCCCCAGGACTGTGAGGAGGCTCACAGAGACTCAGAGCTACGCTTGGGGTGGAAAGCCTGCCGCCACCTCCAGATCCCAGCCCCCTTCCTTTGAGGGCAGGCGTGCACTTTGTGTGTTCTAGAACCTTCCTGGGACCATGGCAGGGGCAGCCACCCAGTGCCAGTTAGAAGTGCTGGCCCAGCCCTAGACCTGTGGAGTCAGACTCTGCGTTTGAACAAGGCCGCACATGGGAGTCACTGGGAAGCCTTAGAGACGCTGATGAGTCTGGCCCACATTATTCCCAGGCGTGGCCTGGCCTAGAACCTTCGGGAACACAGCTGACGCCCTCGTGCAGCCAGGACGAGAACTGCTCTCTGTGTCACTTGGCAGAGGGGCCGCTCACCGAGGGGGCGGGGAGGCACCTGAGGGGGCCCAGAGCGAGTTCGCGGTCAGCCAGAGTCCCAGGCTCACGCTGTCCCCACGCTGTGCGCAGGGTGGCTTCACCCAGGCCTCTGCCGCCTTCCCTCCTCGGTGGGCAGCCTGTGTTTTGGTGACTCATTTCTCATCCCTGGGGGGCTGACGTCTCAACCAGGTGACCACTACTCCTGGCCCCTTAGCTTGTTTGTTGCTCTTACTGGCCAATTTTCTTCTCGCCTTACTCCTCCCTTCCAATTTCTAGAGAGGTGAACTGCTGTCTTACATCCAGCTTTTGCCCGGGCCTCTTCTCTGTTCTGAGCACGAAGCAGAACCTCACGGACTTGAACCTCAGTGACAATCCTCTGGGGGACGCAGGGGTGCAGGTGTTGTGTGAAATGCTCCAGAATCCTGGCTGTAACATTCAGAGACTATGGTAAGGACCTGTGTGTGTGTGTGTGCGAGAGAGAGAGAGAGAGAGAGAGAGAAAGAACGAGAGTGAGCACCTGACGACGCTGTCAGAGGCCAGAGCGGCGGTTTCCTGGTTTCTCGGGGCTGCCATCACACCGGGCCACAGGCGGGGCTTAAACAACAGATGCGCCTTTCCCGCAGCCCTGGAGGCTGGAAGTGGGAGGTGAAGGTGTGGACAGGGCTGGCTCGTACCAGGCCACTCTTGCGGGTGTGGTCGGCGCCCTCCCAGGGCCTGTGCAGATCAGTCTCCTCGTCTCACGGGGAGGCCAGGTGTGTTGGACTGGGCCCTGCTCCAGTGAGCTCACCTTAACGCCGTCATTTCTTCAAAGGCCTCCTCTCCAAATGCAGCCACATTCTGAGGTCGTAGTGGTTAAGACTTCAATGTATGAATTTTTTTTGTGGGGGACAGAGTTCAGCCCACGACAAGGGAGAAAGCAGAATGGACTGGAGTCCTGTTCTTTAGGAAGTATCAGATAGAGAAGGATGAAGGGGAACTGAAAACAGGTCATCTGTTGGTGGTGACAGGAAGGCATGAACTCCAGTATCTTCTGTTTCCTTGTGGGTCATGCTTGTAGGTGGGGATCTGGGAGTTTCATCACATAGAGCGAAGTCTGGAGCCTCTCAGCACATTTTGTGGGGATTGGCTTGTCCCGGGAAACCCCCGGCGGGTGTGTTCTGAAGTACGTGCTCTGAGCACACCCACGGATCCGGCTCGCGCTCCGTGTTGAGCGCGCGCCGCCCTGCTCCATGGCATGTCCGCGTGGCGGGCAAGCCCGGCACTCAAATGCCTTTCTACCCCTCTCTCTTGCTCATCATACCCACCCCATCCCCATCCTCCCAGTTTTACCTTCTTTACAAGCCATGGTCCACTTTCCTCATGCTCGCTCCGCCAGCCCAGGCCCAGCAGCACTTGCCTGAGCAGTGCGACGGCTCCCCAGCTTCCCTGGGTGGGGTTTGTGTCTGCGGCCGCTGTCTTCCTGGTGCCAGAGCGGTGTCTTGGCACGTGTTGCTGCTCAGAAATACACACTGAAGGAAGAGTGGCTGTTTGCTTTCCCTCCAACCCTGGTCCGTGCAGAGATCAGAGGGTTATCTAGAAAATCCTACCTTCGTCATGACGTCCCACTTGCTTAAGTGCTGGTTTGATAACTTACAAACCTTTGTGATTTTGGCCTTGAAGGCTCTGGCTGGGTCTCGCTGCCTCTCTGCTCCCCACTGCCCACCCCCTACCTATGCTCCCATTCCTATTGCCCCTGTGCTGTCCCTGTGGGGTTCCAGGGACAGAGGCATGAGCAGGGACCGACCACTGGCGGTAATGAGGTGCTTTGCAGGTAAATACAGGTTTAACTGCCCACTTCCTCCTACTTGGCGAAGATGGGGGTGGGGTGGGGGGGGTGGTCTAAAAAGCTCCTGGACATCTGAGCTGCTGGCCTGGAAGGGAGCTGAGCTGTTTATTGTTCTTGTTCCTGTGAAGGGCACAAATTATTGGTATTGCTGTAGTGTGTGTATGTGTGTACACATGTATGCACGTGTGCGAGTGTACGCACGCAAGTGTCAGTGTAAAACGAATCAAGAATTAGCTGCTTGCTCCCTCTGTGTGGATGGAGCCTGGGATTAAACCGCTAAGCAGAACGGCAGGATGAGGTTGGCACAGAGAAGATGTGCACCGAAGGGAGCTCAGCGTCTGTCGGAGGGAGTTCCCTACCCTTTTTATTAACAGAACGGAACGTGTTATTTACAAATTTGGGAGCTGACCGTTAATGAGGAAGGGAGTTCACTGCCTGTGTGTCCCTTCCCTATATGTCTTGGGCCGTATTCAGGAGTTCTGATAAGATGACACTTTCCCAAAAACTTCATTATGATTTTCCCTTTGTAACGTGAGAACACAAGGGCCCCTGTTTGGGCTCCGAACGCCGGACGCGCGCAGACCCGAGGCGCGCGAGCGTGCGTTCTGCGTTCTGACGCTCTGCTCCTGTGCTTGGCCCGAGGTTGAGGCGGTGCTGCCTTTCCCAGCGCTGCTGCTCCTACCTCGCCGCCGCGCTGAGAGGCTCCGCGACACTGCTGGAGCTGGACCTGAGCCACAACGCGCTGGCGGACCGCGGGCTCCGGCTCCTGTGCGGGGGACTGCGGCGCGCCTGCTCCCCGCTGGAGAAGCTGTGGTGAGTGAGCCGAGGCTTCAGCGAGCGCCGCAGGCGGGGCGCGAGAGCGCGGAGGGCCTTGGCTTAGGCGTCCGTCCCCCGCCCCCGGGTGTCGGCCAGGTCGTGTTTGCTGCGGGCAAGGCCACCTACTGAGCCCTGGAGGGGAAACTCGGTCAAAGGAATTACGTTGCTTTTAAGGTATTCACAGCCCCGCTGAAAACGTACAGCCAGTGTGATACACTGCTCACGACAGGCCCCTGTTCTCGGCACTGAACAGGACCGGTGGTGCTGAGGCAACACACACACCTGGTATCCGTGCCGCCCCCCGCTGAATGAATTTGGGAAACTCAGATTTTGAAGCAGAGAAGAAAGCGCTTGAAAATAAATGGGTTGATTTACACCCATCGGGATGGTTATTATAAACCAAACCAAAGCAAACCAAAACGGAAAACAACACGGGTTGGTGAGAATGTGGAGGAATTGGAAACCTCCCATGCAGCTGGTGGGAATGTTAAATGGCCCAGCTGCTTGCAGAAAACAGTGTGTCAGTTCCTTAAAAAAAAAGTTAAACATAGAATTACCAAATGACTTAGTCATTTCACGGCTGGGGATCTATCCCAGAGAGTGGAAACGATGCACTCAGACATGTATTTGTACAGCCATGTCCACGGCTGTGTTATTTGCAATAGCCAAACGGTGGAGGCAACCCAAGTGCCCGGCAATGGATAAATAGATTTTTAAAGTGTGATATATACACAAATACAGACTTAAAAGGAATTCTGACACATGCTGTGACATGGGGAAACCTTGAGGACATGACTCGAAGTAAAATAAGCCGGACACAGAAGGAGAGAGTCTGTTTGATCCATTTGTGTGAATGAGGTCCCTAGCGTGGTCAGAGTCAGAGACAGAAAGCAGAAGGGTGGCTGCAGGGCCCAGGGGAGGGGATGGGGGACAGAGCGTCAGTTGGGGAAGATGGAGAAGTTCTGGAGACGGGCGGTGGGGATGGCTGCACAGCAGTGTGTGTGCTTAATGCCGCTGAGCTGTACGGTTAAAGATGGTTCCAGCGGCAGATTGTATGTTGTGCATATTCAACACAAGAATAAACGTTGGGAGCTGGGAAGATGTTGAAGAAGCTTCGTGAGCTCAGGAGGGGTTTACTTGGTCACAAGCAGAAAAGGAAATCAACAGCTGCTGTACAGCTTGGTGCACTCTCCCTGTGTGTGGCTGGACTAGAGGTGGGGATGGGACACGCATCCGGGGTCGCAGCAGCGTGGGGGACACCTGTGTTAACATTCTGACATCTCTGTGGAAGGTTGATCGACTGCTGTCTCACGATGGCCTGCTGTGTGGACCTTGCGTCCGTCCTGACCACCAGCCAGTCCCTGACCAGGCTCTACATGGGAGGAAATGCCCTGGGAGACGCAGGAGTTAGGCTTCTATGTGAGAAAGCAAAACATCCGCAGTGTAAACTGCAGAAGCTGGGGTAAGTGTTCATGCTGTCTCAGCAGAAGAGAAGCTTCTCTTCAAAGATGCACTGTTGGGAAATGTGGGGGATACTCAGGTGAGGCTGAGGGTGGAGAACAAAGGAGACAGTTTCTGAGGGGGTTCGAACATACTACCTACTGCTGGCAAGGCATTTATGACTACAGAGTTGGAGGCTCTCAGAGTCAAGAGAAATAAAAAAGATTGTGCTTCCCAATTCTCCACTTGCTTTTAAAACGTCGATGGGGATAGTCACCTGTCGTATGTGCGAACACTTCCAAGCAAGTTAGTCATCGCTGCACAACGTGGCCACTGCTGCATAACGTGGCCATTGCTGCACAACGTGGCCACAGCAATAGGAGAGGGTTCCTGTCTTGACAGGGTGCCATCGTTGGTTTCTGTGCATTGGTTCTGCTCCTGAGAGCTCTGCGGAGGGGTGCTGATCTCAATTCCCAGGGCTGCAGGTCCGCACTTGTCCCCACCGAGCCCGGGAGCGGGCCGGGGCCTGGGGCTGCTGTGCCCTTACCCTGGCATCTGAGGCCCCAGTGATCTAGCTTAGTCCCTGTCCCCGCCCAGCCCTCCGTGGCTGCTGCGCTTCAGCCTCTGCAGCTGCTGAAGAGAGGGGCCTCCGTCAGGCTCCCCGCATCCCGTGGGCTCGGAGGGAGCGGGCTTGCTTTCCAGCCACCCCGTTCTCCTACCTGGCTTTTCCTTGGCCTGCATCCTTACCCTATCCGACCCTATCCAATCTTCTCCCCGTATTTTCTCAGGCATGTCTCCTCCCATTTATGGTCGCCATCTTGGCCCCTGCTGCGCCTGCCTCATAGAAGAAGGCGCTCCCCTCGCATCTTCTCCCTCCTCCTGTTAATCCAGGGAAACTGGCCACCTGGATGGAAAGCTGGTGTTTTCTGCCCACTCGGAGGTTAATCCATTTGATGGAGCAATTCCAGCTGTTCGCTGGAATGTCTGTGAAACTGTAGTTTCCCAACTGATCAGGCTCAGCCAGTTTTCTCCCTTCTCTTTTGTTAATACCTCACTAGCTGCTGATGCTAAGATGATCCCTTTATAATGAACTGGCGATCTAGTAGCTAACAGGTTTCTCTGAGTTCCGTGGCCAGTCTAGCACATTAGCTAAACCCGAGGAGCAATTGCGGGACTCTCCGACATAGGCTGGTCGGCAAAGGTGGAGGCGCAGCTGGCGCGTGCAGGCCTGCAGGGCGGAGCCCGCGGCCTGCGGAGCCTGACGCTGCCTCTGGGCAGGTAGAGTCAGTACCGCGTGGGTTACTGGGCACCCTGCTTATGACTGAGAACTGTTTGTTGATGTGGGCACCCCTCCTCCGTGTTAGAAATTAGGTCTCAGAACACCTAAAAGAAGAGATGGTTATGTCGTCTTGGAGAGCTGGCTCCTTGTATCATTGTGTGATGTCCCTCTTTATCCCTCATAACTTCTGTTGCTGTGAAGGTTGCACTGCCCAAACTGGATATAGCGGTCGCTGCTTTACTTTTTAAAACTTTCAATCTTTATTGAGGTGTCATTTTATTTTACCAATAAAAATGATAACACTTAATAAGTACAACTCGATGGTTTGATATGTGTATATATACATTGTGAATTAATTTCTATAGACAGTTCATCACCTCACATCCTTACCTTTTTCTTTGTGGTAACGACATTTGAGCTCTCCTTTCTTAGCGAATAACAGGCGTACAATGCATTGTCATTGACTACAGTCACCGTGCCGCTCACAGGTCTCCAGAACCGCTCACGTTCCGACCCGGAGTTTGTGCCCTTTGCCCAGCATCTCCCTTTGCCCCAGCCACCCAGCCCTGGCACCCAGCACTCCACTCTGTTACTATGAGTTTCATTTCTCTTTTTAGATTCCACATATATGTGCAGTCATGCAATACTTGTCTTACTTTGTCAGGCCTGCCTCATTTCGCATAGTGCCCCCGGGGTACCCATGTTGTTACAGACGGCAGGGTTTCCTCTTGAAAGGCTGGATAATACTCCATTGTGTGTGTCAGCACGGTGTATTTTTCTCCATCCCTTTACTTTTAATCTGTTTGTGTCTTTACATTTAAAGTGTGTTTCTTGTAGATAACATATAGTTGGGTCTTGTTTTTTTTTCACTCTATAGTACTTGTCTTTTAATTGGTCTATTTTTGCCATTTACACTCAAAGTAATTATTGACATAGTTGGATTAATATCTATCGTATTTATTCCTGTTCTCGATTTGTTTCCTTTTTTCTTTGGTCCTATTTTTGTCTTCCTCTCTTTTTTTTTTTTTTGTGGTTTTAATTGAGCATTTATATGATTTTATTCTCTTTCTTTTCTTAGCATATGTTATACTTCTTTTTTTTAGTGGTTACCCTAGAATTTTTAATACACATTTACAACTAATTCAAGTCCACTTTCAAATAATCTTATACTGCTTCATAGGGAATACAGACACCTCATAATAACAAAATAGTCCTAATTTTTCCCTCCTGTTACTTGTAACATTGCTGTCATTAATTTCATTTCTACATGAGTGTATATCTACACATCAGTATAAATAATTGAATACTTTTTTCCTATTATTATTTTGAACATGATGCTAGTTGATCAATTAAGAATAAGAAAAGTAAAAGTTTTTATTTTACCTTCCCTATTTGTTTCTGATGCTTGCTTTCTTTATGTACATTTACCCTATATTATTTTACTTCTCTGTAAAGAACTTTAAAAAAAAGTCTCTTGCAAGGTGGGTTTATTGGCAGCAGTTTTCCCCATTTATTTTTTTGTCTGAGAAAGTCTATGTTTCTTTTCCATTTTTGATGGATAATTTCACAGGGTACAGATTTTTATGTTTTTTTCTCTTTCCACACTAAATATTTCATTCTCTTGTTGTTCATATGATTTCTGAGAAGTCAGATGTAATTCTTATATTTGCTTCTCAATAGACAAGGATTATTTTTCTCTGGTTTCTCTCAGGATTTTTCTTTCATATTTGATTTCGTTGTATTTCAAAAATGATATGCCTAGCTGTAGGTTTTTGTTTGTTTGTTTTGCATTTTATGCTGCTTGGTGTTCTCTGAGCTTTCTCTCTCTGTGGTTGGGGTCTAACATTAATTTTGGGAAGATGGTTCACCATTATTGTTTCACGCATCTCCTCCGTTCCCTTCTGTCCTTTTTTTCTTCTGGAATTCCCTTTATGTGTATGTTACAGTCTCATGTTGACTTTTATTGTTTCACAGTTCTTGGATCTTCTGTTCTTTTTTTCCCCAGTGTTTTTATTTTCCTGTTAACTCTTTCAGCTTTGGAAGTTCGTATTGAAATCCTAAAGCACAGAGATTTTTTAATCAGTCATTTACAGTCTACTGTTAATCCCATCAAAGACATTCTTTAGCCCTGTTACAGGGATTTTTATCTCTAGCATTTCTGTTTGGTTCTTCCTTAGAATTTCCTTCTCCCTGCTGACGTTGTCCACCATCCTTACATGTTGTCTACTTTGTCCATTAGGACCCTTAGTGTATTAATCGTAGTTGTTTTAAATTTCTGGTCTGATCATCTTAACATTGCTGTAATATGTGAGTCAGATTCTGAATTTTTTCCTGTCTTTTTGAACTCTGATTTTTGCCTTTTACTATGTCTTGTAATTTTTTCTAGATGGCTGAGCATGCTGTATGGGGTAAAGGGGAACTTCTGTAAATAGGCCTTGAGTTGCACAATGGCGAGGTGTGGGGCAGAATGCATCTGTCACCCTAGGGTGAGGTTTCAGGCCTTGGTGCCCCTGGGCCTCTGGGCTGGGGCTCCTCCGCGCCTCTCAGAGCCTGCCCTCCTGCCCCTCGGAGAAACAGGCCGCCGGAGGGGCTCACACGGAGCACTCCCTTCCCTGAGGTCAGGTAGGCCCTAAAGATATCCCAGCAGGGCAGGCGTTGTGTAACCAGTCTCTGCCGTGAGCAAGTCCTGTTAAGAAGAACGGAGCTGTTTTCCCTCTCCTCCTGCTAAAAGCACAAAGGGATTTTTATCTGAAGTTCACTGTGAGGGCCTCATTGAGCTTCTGGAGGTAAAACTCACAAAAGCAGAGGCCCCCTGTGACTGGGCCCCTGGTATTTTACCTTCTGGCGGTCGGCACCGAGCCTCTGGCCAGTCAGTCACGGTTCAGGGGTCCCTGCCGAGGCTGGTGCCTGCAGAGGCTTCAGAGCCAGAAGTGTGGTTCTCTTTCTCCCCACTTTTGGGGCAGTGGTTTGCTCTGTGACCTCACATCTCTTACAGATCAAAGACGAGTTGCGGATTTGTCCATTTTTCAGCTTTTAACTTGTTGTTAGCATGCAGTGCTGACTCCTAGGCTTCCTGTGTGCTGGCCTGGAAGTTATGGGAATAAGACTTGGATCCACAAAGAGAGAAGTGACAGCGTCTTCTCAGACCACTTCTGAGACAACAGGCTGATGAGCAATCTTCCAGACAAATACTTAAACACCCACCTGGCAGCCCACCCACCCAGCCATCTCGATACGCTCTATGTGTTGGTTTTCTAGGGCTGCTGTAACAAAGTACCACAAGTGGCGTCAACAACAGGCACTTAGTTCTCTTTTGGTTTTCCTGGGACATAAGTGACATGCAGCGCTGTGAAGGGTGAGGTGTGCAGCATAACGCACGACATGCCTGTAGTTTGAAATGATTACCACAATAAGTTTAGTTAACATCCATCACCTCGTATAGTTATGAAAAGCTGTTATTTTCATTTGATGAGAACGGTTAGGATTTACTGTCTTAACTTGCAAACACAGTTTACCCAGCTGTGTCAATGACAGCTGTCGTGTTGGGCATCATATTCCTAGCACTCATTTAGCCTATAACTGGGAATCTGTACCTTGTACCTTTGACAACCTTCATTCAATTTCCCCACCCTGGCTTCCAGCTTCACCTCTTTTAATCACAAATCAGATCTCTTTTTTTTCTTATGAATTTGGCTTAAGGATTTTTTAAATCCTATGTATAAGTGAGATCATACAGCATTTGT